CTTCAACATGGGACCAAACAACATGCTGCGCCTTCTGCAGAGCACTCTTAGCTCCTTACCAATAATTTTTGATGATGGCAGAGAATGCTAGGCTGGGGATTTGGTTGGCCTTGTGGGCACTTATGGGGTAAGAAGCAGGCTAGAGTCTTGGAGCATGAAGGCTTGACATGAGCTGAAGAAGGGGCAAAGCCAGTAACCACAAGAAGGAAATTGTGAGAGAGGAGGAGCAGGCAGAAGTAGGAATCCAGGAATAGTGAACTACAACATGGTAGGAGGAATCATCATGAAGCCTCTGACAGTCTGTAGAGCCAGTGAGGGATATCAGAGCAGCTATACAGCTGTTAGGGACCAGCAGAGACTATCTGGACAGCATCTCTGAATCCATGAAGCTTGGAGTGAGGTTGACATCCTCTGGATGGCAAGATAATTTGTCTCAAGCAATTGAGGGGGTTTAGCAGGAGCTCCACTATCTGTCACTTCTGCTGGATTCAAGATATTCCTGTTCCTTATGATTAAAAACCAAGTGTTCTGCCTGGCTGAGTTGAGACCAGGAATTGAGCTCACAACAGTTTTCTAGTTTCTGGAGAGTTGGACCATGGTTGTACATGCAAGTAGTTCTTTTCTGTGGCTCAAAGTTTTTGATGTATGTAAATAAATTTCATTGAAGCCAATGAAATTTAAAAAAATAATATTTTAGACTTTCCTTGTAGTCTATGAGCTTAAATCTGGTAACGTAGCTTTGCCCCTTTTATGTACATTGTTGTGTAAACCCGTATGAGCAAGTTAATCAATTTCATGCTTGCACTTATTATGTTAAAATATTTAGTCAGCTGGTGTCCTACATTTCACTAATGACTATAATTTAAAACAGCTTCATTAATTATAAGTCTACACAGTGTGGAGCTGAAGGAACATGGCAGGTCAGGCAGCATCAGAGGAGCAGGAAAGTCCCTTCATCAGAACTGCGGAGGGGGGAGGGAGCTTGGAAATAAATAGTGGGAGGAGGGGTAGGGCTGGGGGAAGGTAGGTAGGATGGTTATAGGTGCATCATTAGTGGGAGAGAGATCGACTGAGGTCTTTCCAGAGGAAGGGGGACAACTTCAAGGTAGGCATCTTTGGAAGAGGCTTCGCAGTAGAGTTTGAAGTGACTCAAAGATAGTAAGAACTGCAGATGCTGGAGTCAGAGTCAACACAGTGGACCCTTCATTAGAACTGGGGAGGGGGAAGGGAGCTGGAAAATAAATAGAGGGAGGACTGGTGAAGACCTCAGTGGATCTCTCTCCCATTGTAACCCACTGATGATCCACCTATAACCATCCCACCTACCTCCCTCTATTTATTCCCAGTTCCTTTCCCCCTCCCCAGTTTTGACGAAGGGTCCTGACCCGAAATGTCGACTTTCCTGCTCCTTCGATGCTGCCTGACCTGCTGTGTTCCTCCAGCTCCACGCTGTGTTGACTCTGACTCCAACTTTATTGATTATGAAGTGTCTTGACATACTACAGTGCTGTGGAAGGTGCTATGAAAATGAAAGTTCTTAGTAACAAATATATCTTTTAACTGAATTGAATGTGTTTGATTTGCTAATTTAAAATTGGAGGTATCAAAATATGGGAAATATGTTACAGTTTCTTATATCTTGTTACATCTTTCTTGGCATAGATAGTAATTGCTAATATTTGTCAACTTGGAACTTGAGTTAGTTGTTTTGAATCTTCATTGGCCACATAATAGAATTCATAGTAGTTAACCCAAATATGGCTAAGTACAGTTTCCAAAATCTCTCCTGAAACCTAAAATTTAAGATTAAAAAACTTAAGTTTAATAAATGGATTACTTAAGTTCCATTAGAACCCTTAGATTCTGGAAATGTCTCAACAGATTGTAAAATGCTAATGTAACACCTTTACTTAAAAAGGGATGGAGACAATAAGCAACTAACCGTAGGCCACTTAATGGCTGTTTGTGGGAAAATGTTAGTCCTATTCTGAAAAATGTAATAGCAGAGCATTTAGCAACACATCATACATAAGCAGAGTTAGCATGGTTTCATTTTGGGGAAATCATGCCTGACAAATTTACTACAAATCTTTGAGATAACAGGCAGGATAGATGAAGAGGTGGCAGTGGATGTAATATATTTGCATTTTCAGAAGGAGCTTGATAAGGTGCCGCACATTAATTTACTTAATAAATTAAGCGTCCATGGTGTTGGGGATGATACATGAGCATGGATAGAGGATTAGCTAACAAATAGATGACAGAGAATTGGGGTAATGGGGACATTTTCAGAATGGCAAACAGTAACAAGGGGTATGCCACAGGGATCAGCAGTATGGCCACAATTGTTTATATATTCATGACTTGGATGAGGAAAGTGAATGTACTATAGCCAAGTTTACATATTACACAAAAATAGGAGGGAATGCAAGTGATAAGGATGAAAAAGAGTCTGCAGAAGAATGTAGACAAATTAATCAAGTGGGGAAAAAAGTTGGCAGATTGAATATAATCTTGGAAAATGTGTGCTTATGCATTTTGATAAGAAGAATAGAGGAGCTGAATTTTATTTAAATGGAGAAGGACTGTAAGAAGCTACAGAACTGAGGGTTTTGGGAGTCCTTACCCATGAATCACAAAAGGTTAGCATTGAAGTTCAGCAGGTAATCAGCAAGACAAGTGGAATTTGGCCTACATTTCAATGGGAATAGGCTATGAAAGTAGGGAGGTTCGGCTTAAACTCAATGGAGCACTAGTCAGACCATGGCTGGTTTATTGTGAACAGTTTTGGGCCCCTTTATCTAAGCAAGGATATACTGGCATTGGATGCAGTTCAGAGAAGGTTCAACACGGATTATTACAGGTTTGAAGAGACTTTCTTATGAGGAAAAGTTGATAGGTTGGGCCTGTACTCATTGGAATATAGATGAATGAGAGGCAACCTTCTTGAAACATAGATGATTCTTTGGAGACATGACAGGGTAGATATGGAAAAGTTGTAGAAGAATCAAGGACCAGAAAACATAATTTCCGAATAAGGAGTTGTACGTTTTAAGGTGAGTACAAGGGGAAATGTCTTCTCACAAAGGGTAGTGAATCTAATGAATACTTTACTGTAGCGGGCTGTCAAGGCTAATTTATTAAGTATGTTCAAGGCTGAGACATACAGATTTTTAATCAATATGGCAAACGAGTGTTATGGGGAAAAGGCAGGAAATGAGTTAAGGATCATCAAATCAGCCATGATCTCATATCATGGTAAAGCAGACTGAATGGGCTGAATAGCCTGTTTTTTTTTCTTGTGTCTTATGGTCTTATGGCCTTGTATTTTATTGTCAGTATTGGAGTTGTGAACATTTTCACTCTTCTATACTTTGAATAGATTTTTTAAAAATTTAAATGTTAACTATTGTGTGAAATTAAATGATTCAGGTCATTTGGTATTGCTTCTGATTTAAGTACCTTATTGTTCAATTGTATGTAAATGTGAATTTGGTGTAAGGGTAAGTATCTGCAATGTAATTTGGTTATTCTTTAAAAACATTTCTGTGTTTTGAGTACAATTTCCCCACCCCCAAAGCAAACAAGTGACTCCACAGCTCCTACAGCAGCATTTACAGATCTGGGAAGAGAAACTGGATCGCACTGAAGAGGATTGGCATGGGTACTCATGAGAAGTATTGTATTCTAATTCTCCATGCTGTTTGAGATCATTTGCAATTCCCATTCAAACCAGGCACTATTTCAATTAACAAAGCAAAGCTTGAAGTGTGGTTTCACAATCAGCAAATAATGCATTAAAATGTCATTTCACAACATGCTCATGATGCAGCCATTAGTTACTAGGGCAAGGAACTAGCATGAAACAAAGTTTCCAAAACTGTATTAGGACAACTGCTGCGCTGTAAACTATGCACGTAAAGTCTGTTTTTGAAGTACATGTGCCATCTATTTTCTTCGTTTTGTGTCGGCAAATAAATTTACACAAATTTATTGACACTGTTTGCATTCAGCAGTAAATTGCTGTTACATTTGCAATTAGGTATAATGTTGTTAATATCATTTCAACAATTCTCACTATTTTCATTCAATTTTTTTTCCAACTGCTAGATCTGACACCAGCTGACAGTATGTCTCTTATCTGTTCATATTAATCACATAAAATGATTAATGATCACCAACTTTGCACCAACTTTGAAGATTTGAAAACTCTAGAGGGAAATAGAAATATTGAGGAAGGATATCACATTGATTGAGCATCTTTTACACCTTCAAAATGCTCCAAAGTCGTCTCAGTGAATTAATAATTTTTGAATTAGGATCTTTGTTGATATGTGAGCAAGTATGATGGCCAATTTGTGCACTGCATGCTCCCATAAATTCAGGCCAACAGGTGACTGGGCCCCTGGTGGTTTAGACATGCATCTGATGTCTTTGAATCTAGTTTTATCATAAAATGTTTACCAAAGCTGCTCACTGGTGACTCTAGTTTGAATTATTTAAAGATTCATATCTCAAGACATTTGTAAAATCATGCTGATGTTGGGCTAGATTTTATCAGCCAGTGTGAAGATTGGTATGCCTATTGTTGTGCCAGCACCATGACATCTTGCCAGTTGCAGATAATCTGATTGTCTGCAGAGACCTCTTCCATCCTCTGCATTGGAAGACCACTAGATAAACCTGGCTAGGCTGGTAGATGGCCATCATAATGATGCAAGCTGCCTTCAGCAAGCTACATTTCCACACATTTACTAGCCTGTTCACCCAGATAACGCAGCTGACTTTGAGCGCCCACAGCCTTCAATGTACCTTTTAACTTGCAAGTCCTCTCATTGACTAACAGCTCCTGAGGTGTGGACAGTCGAGCCACCTATTTGGCTGCTGCTGTCATGATGTAGCCCAAATCCCATTGACCACTGAATCACATTCGCTGTCTGGCTACCTGGTGCCTACATAAAATCTAGCTTCTTTATTGCTTGACTTTGTGTTTTTCACAGTTCTGATTGAAGAAATCTATCATGCACAAAAGGAACGGGATGCAGCTGTTATGGCTCGACTTAGACTTGCCAATGAAGAAAGAGATGAAGCCCTTATCCGAGCTAAATGGCTAGAACAGGCATTTGAAGGGTATGTACACTGGATTTAAAAATTTTTTTTTTATAACTTATTCTGAATCAAAGAAAATATTTAAATACACCCCATGAAGTGCTTCTCAATTAATTATCACTCTCTGTTTTAAGGAAGACATGACCAAGGAGCAGGGGAATGCCATTCAACCTCTTGGGCCTGCTCCACTATTTTAAAAGTTAATGACTGATCAGATTGTAATCTCAAATCCACATTACCGTCTGTGCAGTGATTGTAATGAGGTCAGCCAGGTGAACCTCATAGAATGTGAGTTCCTTGATTGGGGCTGTGAACCAGGTCCAATCAGACAGACATGGCTGACAGATATAAACAGGCTACAGAGTCAATAACACCCGCTTACACCTTTTGGAAGATAGTTCTGTGCCGGAGCTTAGGTCTTTCTTTGGATTGGTGAATTATTATGGAAAATTCATACGTAATCTGGCCTCCATCCTGGCATCCTTACATCTGCTATTGAAAAAGAGTCAGCTTTGGAAATGGTCACATTGCCAAAATGTAGCCTTTAGGGAAGTGAAGAAGCAGCTATTATTGTCTAAGGTGTTGGCACACTACAATCTCAAGTGAGATGTGGTGCTGACATGCAATGCCTCCCTGTACAGTATCGGGGTAGTATTGGCCCACCGGTGGCCAAGTGGAGGGAGATGCCTGATAGCATATACTCCCCAAACTTTGGTGGATGCCAAACAAAAATATGCGCAGATAGAAAAAGAAGGTTTTGTGGTCACCTTTGGTGAGTTAAAGTTCCACAATATCAAGCTGTTCCGGTACAGTTACAACACTGGCATCTACCCTACAATGTGGAAAATTGCCCAAGTATGTCCTGTACACAAAAAGCAGGACAAATCCAACCCGGCCAATTACTGCCCCATCAGTCTCCTCTGGATCATCAGTAAAGTGATGGAAGGTGTCATCAACAGTGCTATCAAGCAGCAACTGCTCAGCAATAACCTGCTCAGTGACGCCTAGTTTGGGTTCCGCCAGGGCCACTCAGCTCCTGACCTCATTACAGCCTTGGTTCAAACATTGTCAAAAGAGCTGAATTCCAGAGATGAGGTGAGAGTGACAGCCCTTGATATCAAGGCTGCATTCGACTGAGTGTGGCATCAAGGAGCCCTAGCAAAGCTGGAATCAATGGGTATCAGGGGGCAAACGCTCCGGTGGTTGGAGTCATACCTGACGCATAGGAAGATGGTCGTGGTTGTGGGAGGTCAATCATCTCAGCTCCAGGACATCTCTGCAGGAGTTCCTCAGGGCCAACCATCTTCAGCTGCTTCATCAATGACCTTCCCTCCATCATAAGGTCAGAAGTGGGGATGTTCGCCGATGATTGCACAATGTTCAGCACCATTCGTGACTCGTCAGACACTGAAGCAGTCCATGTTCACATGCAACAAGATCTGGATAATATCCAGGCTTGGGCTGACAAATGGCAAGTGACATTCATGCGACACAAATGCCAGATTATGACCATCACCAATAAGAGACAGTCTGACCACCGTCCCATGACATTCAATGGTGTTACCATCACAGAATCCCCACTATCAACATCCTGGGGGTTACCATTGACCAGAAACTCAACTGGACTCACCATATTAACACAGTATCTACAAGAGCAGGCCAGAAGCTGGGAATACTGCGGCAAGTAACTCATCTCTTGACTCCTCAAAGCCTGTCCACCATCTACAAGGCACAAGTTAGGAGTGTGATGGAATACTCCCCACTTGCCTGGATGAGTGCAGCCCCAACAACACTCAGGAAGCTTGACACCATCCAGGACAATGCAGCCCGCTTGATTGTCACCACATCCACAAGCATTCACTCCCTCCACCACCAACGCTCATAAGCAGCATTGTGTACTATCTACAAGATGCACTGCAGAGATTCACCAAAGATCCTCAGACAGCACCTTCCAAACCCACGACCACTTCCATCTAGAAGGACAAGGGCAACAGATATATGGGAACACCACCACCTTCAAATTCCTCTCCAAGTCACTCACCATCCTAATTTGAAAGTATGTCGCTGGGTCAACATCCTGGAATTCCCTCCCTAATACCATTTTGGGTCAACCCACAGCAGGAGGAATGCAGCGGTTCAAGAAGACAGCTCACCACCACCTTCTCAAGGGCATCTAGGGATGGGCAAGAAATGCTGGCCAGCCAGTGATGCCCACATCCCACAAAATGAATAGAAAAAAAATACCTTTATGTTTGTAAATTTGTAATTGTAACGGACCACAAACACCTGCTAGAGCTATTCAAAGAGGACGAGGCCATGTCGCCCATAGCTTCAGTTCGGTGTCAGCGGTGGCCTCTTATTCTGAGTGTGTACAATTACAAGTTGGAACACCAACTGGAGGCCAAGTGTCATATGCAGATGCCTTGAGCCACCTTCCGCTGGCAAATGTAGCACCGGTGTCACCGCCCCTAGAAGAGTCCATTCTGGTTTTAAACTTTCTGAACACTCTTCTGGTCATCACTGACAATATCAGACTGGGGACACAAAGATCCTGTCTTGGCAAAACTAAAACAGCTGGTGGCATTGAAACAAAAGGACCATCACAAGCAGAATTGAAACCTTTACGGACCCCGTGGGAATAGCCGGGTGAACTCTAGACTTGGTTACACGTCAACTATGCTGGTCATTTCATGGGCTGTATGTTCTTAGTCATTGTGGATGCCCATTCAAAGTGGTTGGATTTGCATAAAGTTCATTAGTCAAACACGGGAATGATGATTAAAAAGTTGCACGCATCTTTTGCAGTACACATATTCTCACAGGTGGTTGGCCACAGACAACGGGCCATCATTTACCAGCAGGGAATTTGATTATTTCTTAAAGTCAAATGGCATTTGGCATGTAACGATAGCTCCATACCATCCAATGTCCAATGGTTTGACAGAATGAGCAGTCCAAACTTTGAAGGCAGGCTTAAAGAAACAATGTACGGCTTCACTCAATACCAAACTGTCCTATTTCCTGTTTGATTATAGGACCACTCCTTACAGGACAATGGGACTGCTTCAGCAAGTTACTAATGGGGTGAAGACTCCAGGTTAAAGCAGATCTTCCCAGATCTAGGAGTGGATGCAACATTAGGAGCATCAGTGCTAGACACAAGACTTCTCTCAGCTAGAAAAGCAGTTTACTACAGGAGACAAAGTTTTATGTGGAAACCACAGGAATGAGCCTGCATGGGTAAGAGGCATGGTAGCTGCAAGGTCAGGTCCTGTGATGTACGTAGTTTGTGTGGGAGATGCTGTCCTGGACAAGCATGTGGGTCATATGTCAGCTGCAACCTCACATACAGGGCAGGAGCAAAACATATCTGGCCCCTCAGAACATCCGGCAAGGCTGTCAGAACCCATGGATTCTCCTCCTCTGCCTAGCATCGAAGAAACCTCTTGAGGATGAGACGGACATGACAAATGTTGCAGTCTTGACACCATTACCACATGACAAACAAAGATAAATTTCTGCCAAGATGCTCCAGGAGCAAGGGACTGGCTACGGTCTGGTACATGCCACCAGTATCAGAGGCAGAGTTGGAGGAACCAGACCTGGTGCCCCTGGAAATGCTACAGGAAAATGAACGAGCCTACATCCCTGGACTTAGAGTTCGAGGGATGTAATGATTGTAATGAAATCTGCCAGGTGGACTTCATAGAATATGACTTCCCTGATTGGGGCTCTTAATTGGTCCAATCAGAGAGTCCTGGCTGACAGATATAAACAGGCGTATCAGGAATTCTGTTCATTCTAGGACTTGTTCTGAGCTAGCTGGGTCTGTGTCTTGTTCTTTGCACGTGTAAATAAAGATTGACTTGGTGATGAGATACCGGCCTTTGTGGAGTTATTTTAGTTGTCTATGATAACATGTCACCTTCTTGTTTACTAAGGATCTACGAAAAAAATTCGAAGATTCTGCTGCTATTATCATTTCAAGAAGTGTGTTAAATACTCTCGACCTTCTGAGAGGACACAATATGCCTCTTCTTTGTTTTGCACAGGTGACGTATTTTTAAACATTGACTCCTAGTTCGAGGTTGTCTCATAAGAAGAAACATTCTTTCCACATCTACTCTGTCAAGACCGCTCAGAATCTTGAATGTTTCAGTCAAGTTGTCTCTTACTTTTCTAAGTACCAGCAATTATAAGCCTAACTTGACCAACCCTTCCTAACAGCCGATCCATTCCAGATATTAGTCTTGTAAATCTTGGAATTACTAGCAAAGCATTTATATTCTGAAATAAGGAGACCAGCATTATACACAGTTCTCCAGATGTGGTTTCTCCAGTGTCTTGTATGACTGAATCATAACCTCTCTACTTTTATGAACAAAAACAGAAGTTTCTGGAAAAGCTCAGTAGGTCTGGCAGCATCTGTGAAGAAAAAAATCAGAGTTAACGTTTCGGGTTTGGTGACTCTTTTGTGTTCAGTTCCCCTCAAATTAAATGGTGGCATTCATTTAGCTTTCCTAAACACTTGCTGAACTTAGATACTTAACTTTTGTGATTGATGCACAACGACACCCATATCCCTCTGCATTTCAGAAATCTGCAATCTCTCAACAGTTAAATCATTTGCTTGTTTTTTAATCTTTCTTCCAAATGAACAATTTTACATTTTCCCATGTTATTCTCCATTTTCTAGATCGATGTCCACTCACTACATCTGTATATGTTTCTTGTAACCTTCTTGTGTCATCTTTGCAACCTATCTTTGTGTCTTCAGGAATTTTGACAGCCATATCTTCCAAACCCTTATTGGTTGAGAACCTAGTGCATATCCCTGTGGCCCACCAATCGTCATGTCTTCCAACCAGAAAAAGATCCATTTATGCCTACTGTCATCTTCATGTCAGTGAACCAATCTTTTATCTATGCCAGTATGTTCACCCCAACACCATGATCTTTTATTTTACAAAGTAACCTTTGATGTGGCGCTTTATCAAATGACTTCTGGAAAATCAAATCCA